TCGGACAGGTAATGACGGATGTTTCCACTCCATAGATGCGGCCTTCGATTCTGGCGTTAAATGGTGGACCCACGTTTCATCCCCCGTCACAATCCGAAACAGAAAGTCATTGCCATCTTCAATGGTAACGCACGAGATGTTCCAGGCTGACCCCCATGCGTTGTTCCTTGTGTGTCGAGGCCAATTGTCGGGGCACCCATCGTGCTGACACTTTTCTGTATCGAAGAATGTCGTGGATGATGTTTTGAGCTCGCTCATGTGAGATTCCAAGTTCTTCCGCTACTTCATCGATGGTGATACGCCGGTTCGCTCTAATCATGTCATCCACCTTCCTGGTTCCGGCTTTGAAGAAAAATCTCGGGGGAAGGCGCTTTGGAAGCAATACTGAAGTGAAACAAGCCGTTCAACGCTTCTTCCGTATACAAAGCCCTGATTTTTTCCTGGAGGGCTTTTTGAAGCTTATCAAGCGATATGACAAATGTCTCAATGTACTTGGTACCTATGTGGAAAAATAAAGGTATGTCATATCTTTAATGTCTCATTCTATTTTTTGACTTTCATACACAACTCTGACCACAGTCTACAGGAAATCTTATTTTTCAACTTACCTACGTATATAAAGAAAAATGACTGTTTGTGCATTTGTTTGTTTGTTCGCGTTATTGATTTCTGATCAATTATGATAAATTTTTTGCAACATTTAATCGACTCAAATTGAATATAGGTGAAATATTGGATGGAATTTGAGCTTTTACGACCACTTGATTCACTTGGACGAAGATAATTAAAAAGTGCGTGCCATTGTTACTGATATAATGAGAGAGAAAAATGTATGACTATAAATCGTATTTTTTGCATCGTTATTCGAGATTTGTTGTTATTATTACTCTCAATCTGACTTAACTGGCATCGGGTACTTCCGGTAGTACATAAATAAAAATAAATCGAAGTCAATTTTTCTGCCTTAATTGCCATTCAGTGATATTCTTTTATGACTAAATAATACCTTAACTTATAATTATCTCTTTAACTTCTTAATTTTGTTACATTTTGTATGTCTAAAGAATTTTGAAGCACGTTTGCAAAGTCTAAAAATATGTTATTAATATTCTCATAAAATTTTATTACTTTATAATTATAATGCGATAATCATACAAGAAAGTCAAACACAATTGTTTCCCATTTTTTACAAAACTAAGAACCTCATCTTTTCTAAGAACTACAAATGTTTTCTCTTTTTACTTAAAACGAACTTTTTTACTCTTACCTTTGTACGAAGTAAAAAGGAAGTATTGTAATCGCGAAAAGTTTCAGGCAGCATATTTCAACAAAAATATCCCATTTTGACCTCTTTCAAATGCAATTTAACGATGTATTTCCGTGATATCTGTATACTATAAGGACAGAATAAGACACTCTTTTCCTCCAAAAAAAATTATAAAACTGCTTTAAAATGAATTCTGAAGAGAATTTTTCGTGGCATCTGTACGAACGTATGTACGTACGTACGTACGTATCTCGCATAATTCAAAAACGAGTAGCCTCAGAACGTTGAAATTTTGTATATAGGACTGCTATAACATGTAGATGTGCACCTCGTATTTTGGTTGCAATCGGCCGCACCAAATGTGTATATAAATATATTTATATATATATCCACTCTGTTACCCGGCTCAGTGATCTCAGTTTCTTTACTCTTATATGTTTGTAAATTGTACACTTTTTGCTTTAGAAATGATTGAATTTATGTTGTTCTTATCTTCCGGTTAATGTTTTTATGCCTTTAGTAAATCTGTATGCAATATTTTTGGAATTATCAACAATTTTAAAATTGTTTAAGTGCCGCTAAGCCTAATAATGTTTTTGATGGCGGCCATTGCTCTTGTTTACATTTGAAACAGCAGGATAGCGGATTTCTTGCCAATCTAGAGAAACTTAGCTTTGCAACAACGAAGATAACGCCTTCATTTATTATTTAAATCATGCTTAATCCTTTCTGGAATTTTTTCGAGGAAATAAGCGTTTAAGATTTACTTCGTAATTTTTAATACAGATATTTTGAGTTTTTATGTATTTTTGCCTTGTCGCGAAGTGAAATCTGAATTAATTGAATGAGAAATAGTCAATCGTCTGTGAAAAACTGTTTCTTTTTTATTGCTTAATGTTTCTTTTTTATTGCTTAATGTAATTTGTTTGCTTAATTTCTTTTATACATCGTTCTAGCTTTGTTATAGTATTTGAATAGAACATGTGGCAACGATTAAATAATTATTTAAATGATATAAATTTTGTGCATTTTGAGTTATAATATGAACGAAATATAATACTGTTAAGTAAACCTAGCGCCAGGGTGTCGCTATGGTAAACAAAGTGAATTTTAAAGAATGCATTTATTCTATTGTGGTTTATGCGCTGTCGGCGAAGTAGGTTTAATTCAATCTAATAAGTTTAAATGAAATGCAAGAAAAAATACGTATAATTTAATATTCCGTACAAGTAAGTCATGTACTGTACACATCAGATTTTTTACTTAATAAAAATAATATCATAAGTTGGCTGCATGTCAATATAGTAATTTGCTAGTGTTTTCTAGAGCTCGAATTTTATAAGATTCTGTTAACAAGATATCTATTCTGAAGAAGATTATATTGAGCTATTATTATTAACAATAATCTGCACAGAAGAGATCGTCACTTAATCTCTTAAGATCAGAAAACGTTTCCGAAATTGATATTTTATTTTTTGTTATGTGCAAATGCAAAAATTTAGCTCTTTAATTAGTGCCGTCCTTTGAGTACGATCTCGGGGTTTAATATAAAATATTTCGGTCATTTTTAGCCGCATGGGCGTCAAACCTTTTGCGCTTTTTTTTAAAACGAGTACAAAATTTTACTAAATGCAATTATGAAAACGAGAGGAAAGTATAAAATGTCAGATTTCGTAATTTTCAGAAAACTGATTTCTTTAAATTTAAAAATGGCAAAATAGGAATATTTACGTTATTTAAAACATGTTTGTGTTTGGAAATATTTATATATGTTTTCAGCCAGCAGTTGCGAAAATAAAGCTCGGGTAAGGACTTTTGTGGATAGAGCGAATAATATTTAGGAATGTTACCAGTATAAACCGTGGAAGGAACGATAGCTTAATTTTCTCTGTTACTAACTCACCTAGTAGTTTGCTTTGTCAAAGTGAAAATAATTCAATTTTTATTTGAGAAGAAATGAATTTCTTAAAATATAATTTAGAAGTCCTTGAGTACTCAGCATTTGAAATCAAGGTCTATTTACTTATTATATTAAATTTCCTTTAGCACGTTTGTCAAAATGACGTCTTACTGATAGTTTGGGAAAACTACTTATTTTATTGATTTATGAATTTAGGTTTGAATAGTTTGATTTACGTGAATTTATCTTTTTTTATGATTGATTTATGTGTTCCTTGTACTTTGCCAAGAACGAATGGCCTTTGACAAGGTCGGATATTTGACGAACATTGCTTCAAATCTGATACTGTAGGAGTTTCCAAAATGCGGGTTGCAAAACTAATTTTGGCGGATTGAGTTTTTGTTTTGTTGCATTATCATGAATACTTATTTATAATTGTATTTAATTTATAAACATTATTTAATCTGTTATTATTTCCTTTTTTACATTATTCTCGTCTTTTCCTGTCTCTTCATTGTTATTTTCAGAGCTACAAAGATTGTTTACATATTTTTAAAATGAATTCGAAGGCGTTTAGCTAATGCTTAATATAAAAAAGTATTTTTTAAATGTTTGCCTTTTCGTACTATAAGTCAGAAACAGGATTTCCCTGATGGAAAGGCTTTCTGTAAAGTTCCCAGGGGTTTGATAGCCATTCCTCTTTCACTACATTCCAGAGCCCAGCAATTGTGGTAGATTTGAGCTTAGGAAGAGCTTTTCTCAACAGAAAAAAGACACAGTGGTCCATAGATGAAACGTCACTGGACTTTGCAGGAAAACGTTGAAAAGTAATGGATTTATCAGTTTTCATTTTTCCAAGGAATGCAGTGGTACTTTTCTAACTTTGTTGCTTGACGAAATTTCGCACTTTGAAAGTCACTGAGATAAAGAAGCGGAATTTTTTCTGTAAATATCAAGCTTAAAACTTTCTCCTGATAGAAAGTTGAGTTGATATTAACATTTTTTGCGCTTTTCTTTACTTTCAATTTCCTTTTGAAAGAGAATCCTGTGAGAATCATAAACCCTTTACTAAAACTTTCTTAACATTGACGGAACAAGATTTGTACATCAGGGGTATTAGTGTACTTTAAAACTACTTTGTTAGAGATGAAAATTGAAATAGATACTAGATTTCCCTTAGAAATTTAATCATTAATAGCTTTCTTTGATGGAAAGTGGTGTTATACTGGAAATTTGACCGATAGAATTTCATGTTTTGCAAACACAAATTCTTAAACAAATTAATAAACAGTGTTCAAGAATTTAAGTAGTTTTTGCATATAATGAAAATTAATTAAATGTAGTTAATGGTGTGAGCAGGAAGGAAGCATATTAAATTATTTGAGTAATCTTGTTAAAGATAAGCAGAGCAACTTCTAAAAACGAATAATTTCAATAAAATTAATGATCAGAATGTTTTCCTCTCTCTCTCTCTAAAATGCTGTTTAAACTAGTCACTAACTAATTTTGTGACTGATTTTTCTGACTGAAGAAAAAAGTGACGTTTGTTTTATTTCGCAAATTATTTATTTCTTTCCCTTTAAAAATGCTACTGTAATGGAATTCTTACATATTACAACATTCCTTTTAAGAGAAGTTAATGCTCGCTTCAATTATAGCGTGAGAATAAGACGAAATGATCGTGGAAGGTTTTCAACAGCATCCGTTGCGCCACACGACCACTCTTGTCATCTGGCTTTTGTGTGGATGATTTTTGATGAGCGTCAAAAGAATCGAAACAAAAGAAAGAAAATTTCATACCAGAATAAAATGTTTCTTCGCAAATTTCCCACCAATCCGTCATAACAGTTGACTGTAGTCACGTGGTCTGACTTTCCCAATGACGTATCTGCCGAGATTTGACTTAAATACTTTCTCTTTTAAATTCATTCAGTAGATTTCTTCTCATCTCGCCTTTTGTATTGTTTTCTGCACGTACATAACAGGTAAGTGAAAGTTTTGAAATGTCTTGTCTCATACTATTAAAATATTTATGTAGAAGAGCATTTTGACATCGTATTCGTATTCAAAAAAACGTTCCATGTAGAAACTCAGCTTTCTTTCGATAAATATTAGATAATATAGAGTATTTTCTAAAGACTTTATTCAAAAATATATTTTAATTTAAATAACTATCTTTTCAAAAATTAAATAATAAAATTTTAAAACTTTCTGAAGTTTAACGTTTGAAATTTAAATCAAAACAATAACGGATCTAAATAGTGTCAAAATTATTTCAGAAATCTATTATATTTTGTACCGATTTTTTTATTTTATCAACTTACAAGTTACTGCTTTTAAATGCTTTAAATTCCATACCAACCACAACAGCTAAGATAATTGTGAAAAATAAAGCATACGCATCTTTATACCGACTTTCTTTGTGACTTGAGTGACTTATACCGATTTTTTTTCACGCTACGGAAACTTAATTATTGCACAATTTTCTAAAGTATTATGATACGTTATTTAGTATAAGATAAATTTAAGTACAAAAATTACCTTAGATGTTAACAAAAATAAAGTTTTTACACGAGGAACGCTTAAAATATAATAATTTCTTAGGTTGGTGGTGTATTTAAAGGAGACAACGAAAAATGTACTAAATAGTTTAACTACTACACTTAAAGCAAAATAAAATAAATATATTTTCATTTGATGATATAAAATTGAGTTGTAAGTTACTGTAATATTCATTTTAAATACAAGGTTGCACAGATAAAATGCATATTTACCAAAAGGAATTTTTAAGGGTTTTCCCTTAAAAATGTTTTGTATGTAAAATGTTTTGTATGTAAAGCAGTATGGTAATTTAAAGTGTAGAATTTCATGCATGCTATTATTTATATAATATTGATGTTTCGATATTATTTCATAATAATTTTGCTATTAATAAAATATCAAAAGGCTTAAATATTCCTTAAAAGCGTTAAACTTTCTGGGATCTGAACTTTCTGGGATTGTATATAATTTCAGATAAACTTTTCAAAAAGTTGTGCGTTTAGCTGATGCAGCTTTTCCGTTGAAAATCATGCATTTATTAAAGTGCGGTGCAAAATTTTGACAACTCTATTTGCAATATGTGGTAATAAAATTTGATGACCTATCTATAAATGTAACTTCGTGTGAAAGGAAGGAATGCCTCCGTATTGAAAAAAAAAAAAAAAAAAAACTAGCTCGTAATGACATACACAAAAAGAAAATCACGAAAATCCCATGGAGTCGCCCGTTTAGCCAAATTTTAACCTATGTTGAACTACTTATACTCAGCGATTTTACGATTTGGCCTCCAACAGACCAAGCAGATTGGGAACGAGCATGTTAACAAACCAGTTTGGTACGAGTTAACTGCTAGTAACTTGAAACAAAAACTAGTAACTTGAAACTAGTAACAAATTAGTAACTTGAAACAAAAGCACTTACAGTGCACTTAATTATCCGGGTGGGGATTATCCGGTTTGAGGATAATCTGTGCATAACAGTATACTCACATCTGTGCATGGCGACCCACACATGGATCGGATCGCTATGCGCCAGATGGACCGCCATCACTTTCACTCAACGCTATGCGCGCGAAATTGTAATATAACAAACGCCTCCGAGTATGCTCTGCTCCAATACCTCTGAATTGGGTATATGCGTTTAGTTTCGGCAACTTTGGGTCAGTTGTTAGGTTTCTTTGTACAACTCTTGCTGAGGAAGAATATGATTTAATGAAATTCTGCGAAAAGTTTGCTGTATTGAATTCCATATACGAAGTAGCAGAAGTTTGGTCGAAATACAAACCTTGGTTCGATCATGGAGAAAGATTCTTGTTTATATAGAGAACGGAGTATTTTTAAGGACGTAGATTTATCTAGTTGTGGATAAGATGAGGCAATAACTGAGGTTATAAATAAAAAATGAAAATGTAAAATTCTTCGAAAAGATGTATCGAGAAATGTCAAGGAATGGTTCGATGGTGATTGATTGAGTCGGCTTTCAGTTCCTGAGTGATACGGATATTGTTTCAAATACCACAAGAGTAAAAGAGGTAGAGATTGATATTGAAGATGGATTTCAAAGGCAAAAGGGGATTCGAATATAATGATAAAATAGCACTTATATACGCTGTGAAATTCGACAAATATTCAAACGTTCTTAAAAACACAGTAATTTTTTTTTAAGAAATAAACACATACGATATGCATAAAAATTGATAGCTTGGATTATCTGTGATATCCGTGATGCCCAGATAATCGAGAGGGCATTGCGTATTAACTGTTACACTATTACAGCCTTTTGAGTCACATCTAATAAAGCCCAATGTCGCAAACTCGATGATGCAGGGTTGAGAGAAACATAATATGCCAGAAGTAAAGATGCAGTGTATGTTGGTGTCATGACTTTCCTGTGTTATCAAAGGGATTAACTAAGCCTTTTTTTCTAAAGTCGTTAATTTATTCTATCAAAGTAAGACTTTGTTTCATATTGTTAAAGAATTCAAGAGATTTGGGTTAATCGTATGGGAGTTGCATGTTTTACCAATTCTCAACACTCTTCCACATATCTGTATCAATTGTAAAGTAGCACAACGAAAGAAATATCAGCTTCCTGCCTTTCAGAAATGACAAACACCTTCAGCTGATGCTGTTCTTTGCGAACAAAGTATGAGGCAAAATTATCTATTATGAAGAAGCATAATTACAGAAATATCATCTGCATGCTTTTCCAGAAATTACATTGTTTTCTTCTAATACTGCTGTTTGCAGTCACAGTGCAGTATATAATCAAAAGGCAGTAATATTAATAAGATATTTGAAGCAAATACCGTTATATCTAAAATAATATATACTACGTTACTCGCTTAATTTCTCCCAAATAAGCAAATACCATTATATCTAAAGTAATACATACTATGTTACTCATTTAATTTCTTCCTTTAAATTACAGCCTGAAAATCTGGGGGGGGGGATTACGCGGTTTTTAACAATTGGGAGGAATGAAGAAACAATTTATAGGATCAGTAAGCCAGTGTATAAATTAGTCATAGTACTATTATTTCTAATGTCTGCCCCAATATTATTAGCCCGAAGGTAGTGTTAGTCTCGAAACGCAATTTTAGGCTGTTTCATTTTTCATTCGAGTCTGTTGCCATTCTGAAAAAGAAATAAGCTATTATTCTTTCATATATAATCTGTTTGTTATTAGTCAAAAATTAAACTACTTAAAAGCAATACATGCAGTTTTTAAGAAAATTACTTTTTTACATTTTAATCTGTTTGATTTAAATTAAAATGCATTTAATTCACGATATAGCTAATTAAAAAACATTTATATTTTTATAGAAATACATTACACTTTTTCACTCTTTAGATATACAGATATACAGAAGACATATAATCTTCCAATGTTAAATGCATATTCATTTAATACCCTATAAAACGTTTCGCTATTCCACTTGGGCCATTTCTAATGATATTCTAGAAAGTAAATTCTAAAAGAGCCGTTAAAATCTAAAGCTTTTCATATTTTTTAAAAACTTTTGTTTTATTTCCATATTGTATGTTACTACTTGTATCTTGGACTACAGATAAACGCTAAAATTCTAAGTTAAATAATTTAAACTAGAGAGCAGATAACAATAAACTTTTAAACAAGGAAGGACAACATGTAAAAAGCATCTTCAGCACACACCTGGTTCCGTTAATGCAAAAGAAGTTTCAGTAAAGGGTTTATGACTTTTGTAGGATTCTCTTACAATGGGAAATTAAAAATAAGAAGTGTGAGGGGTGGAATGCTAAAATTAACGCACTACCAAGAGAAAAATCTTGCTTGTAGTATTTGCAAAAAAGTTTCCATTTCTTTATCCCACTAACTTTCAAACAGTGGAACTTTCTCAAGACAAAGCGGTAAGTCATATTTCGAAAAGTATCACTGCATTCCTTGGAAAAATGAAGAATAATACAGATATTGTATGTATGCTTTTCAACATTGTCCTGAACTCCCTGACGTTTCAGCTGTGCAATATTGTGTCTTTAATTTAAAAAGAACTCTCTCTAAGCCGACTTCGATTAATGGACTCTGTAAAGTAGTGAAACACGAATGAAAAATACATCTGGGAATTTTATGAAAAGCCCCTCTATCTTAGAAATCACAATTCATATTTATAGCCCAGAAAAAATGTTATCAGATCAAAGATTTATAAAAGTAGTCTTTACATTTTAAACGTTAATTAAACCTCCTTGAAATAGTTCTAAAAATGTGTAAACACTCTCTGTAGTTCGGTGTAATGGATTCTGTGATGTAAAAGAGAAACTAAATTACTTACTAAATTACGCTTCGTAATTTGCTTTAAAAGAGTTCTCCACAGATTCGACTACTTCGAGAATTATATAATAAAAAATAGTCAAAACAAATAAAAATTTGTAACCTCGTTTTCGGGCGAGTTAGCTTTTGGGATATCTTAACTTTTCTTGACAGTTTATTGAATAATGCATTGTGCTACGGAGAACTTAAATAAATCGGAGTGGCAAAACGAATACCACCTTGATTCTATATAAAATCATCATGTGTTCAATAGAATCGTTTTTCGAAAGATATTTCAGTAACCGGAATTAATTGAATCACTTTCAAATTCTGAATTCTTGGTAGATTCTGAATATCCAGTAACTGATAATTCTGTTGCTGTTACGGATAAAACAAGGGAAGAATAAATATAAGTAAAAGTATAATACCATGCGCGGAAGAAAAAAGAATACTGCTGATTAAAAATACAATTTAGAAAGTGAACTTAACCATTCCGATTAAAATAATTTACAAGCATTGCTTAAATTATATAGAATTTCTTTAAATGAAAGATAACACTAATAAAACCGTTTTGTAACCCTTACCACATTTTTGAAGGCGATTTATAGGCAATGAAAAAATAAATTACTATTGAAAACTTTCTTAACTTATTTTTAACGAATCTCTATTTTAAACATCACAGTGAACAAATAAATCTGTAAAAACGTCCGTATTAAAATAAGAAATAATTAACAAGATACCATTTTATGGTTTTAAAATTTAAATTTATTTGTTAGAATCCAATTTTTAATTTTTGTTAAATTTCCTTTCCTATCCATAATTCGACAATTGTATGAGTAACACAAATCATTTGCCGCATGAGATTTCGTCCAAAATTTCTTAGTACTCTGCCTTAATTTTAGAAAAAATAGTCTTTGATGAAATCATTGGAGCCTGGTACGAATGGCTCAAAAGTTCAATAGTAGAGATCTATCAAATACGAGAGATACAGAGCTAACCATTACGTTTCATGCCCTCAAATATCACAAATGGAGGTTTGACGACCTATCACATTCACGTAAGCAGATCTGTTCCTATCTTGCCCATATTGTGAAAAAAATCACGGATTAAACGCTATCCGAGCTTGTGTCATATAAGCTGTAACAAAAGACACTATCGTGAGCAGTTGAAAAATAAATAATCGAATAAATAGTCAAGCAATAACAGGTCAATATTACATCTCAAAACGTTTGATATCAAAGGTATTTTAATATGTTGGAGATACTAGGGCAACAAGAATGAATGTACATTGCATTAATGTAAAGAACTAATTTCGAAAATTTGAACTGAAGCTTCTTCTTCAGTGGAAGGAGTGAAAATAACGAACGAGAAGCCTGTACTCACGCGAAAATAGTAGACAAAAGATTCAAGATCCAGTAGCTTTGTTTCTTTCGTTACCTAGTCCACTAAGTAAGGAAAGAAGCAAAACTACTTGTTCCAACTATTGACAAAAAGTAAAACCAAATATAAAATAAAAATGGTATCATTAACTAGAATTGAAAGATTCTGATGAATGTAAAATGTCTATGGAATAAAGAATTTTCTATCCAAACTTTCAAAACTATTCCTGCAAATTTATGCACCTTAACGCTGACTCTTGTTGCTTCAGCATATTTTCAACATTTTTTCTTTGACATGTTATTTTAGTTAATACTCAAATATGCTGAATATGGCCTTTATTAGAAAATAATCTTTATTAGAAATATGATCTGACAATGTTGATTCATTCTACGAACACCATAAACAACGATTTAAGGAACTTCTGCCCGTTCAACGAAATATTTACATCTCGGTCAATTTGCAAGGAGGGCTGTGGAAATTATTTAATTGTCGTCCAAGCTTGTCTTATGTATGTTATATGGAATCAATTTAAGAGAATTCGTTGACGTTTTATGCAAAGCAAAATTTCAGATTGCTGGTATTGGTCTGTATCCGGAGTTTTAAGAACCTTTGCGATATCATTCATAGGAATGACGTGAGGACTCATAAAAGCAAATAATATGTTAATATAACATTGGAGGATGCCATCCCGATAGCGCAGTTTAGTTATTCAACCGCTAGAATACAAGAAGATTGGTGAGGCCACCAGATATAATCCTTGCTTCAAAATCAAACTGATGCTTTTGTAATTGAGACGAATTTTGATAATGTATACAGACCTTCTCCATACCAAGTCCGTCGTCAGTTTCAACTAGTATCTAAGCAGAAACATGACTCATCTGTACATCCAATTCTTAGTCGTTTTGTTCGCTAGTAGATTTCTTCTATACAGTAAGACCCCGCTTAACGCTGTTTCGTTTAGCGCTGTTTCGGTTTAGCGCTCTTTTATTTCAACCCGGGGATTCCACGAAATCGCTCGCAGCATACGGGGATTCCCCGAAATATAGCAGCGATAGTTTCCAAATACATATCCGAAAGAGTGTACTTGTATTTCTTGTTTTGGTGCGGTATTGTACAGACATATTTGAGGAGTAAAGTGGAAGATGTCGAAGAGAAATAATTCAAGAAGCAGCGGCTAGTCTTTCTAATGATGAGCTCAAGGAATTAACTGAACAGAAGAAAACAAAAATGTTGACAGCAGTGATTCAGAAGAAGAGCAAAAAGAACTTTCGATGGGTTTGTAAAAAAGGAGTTTGTTTACCATAACTGAAATAATGGATCAATTCATTGAAAAATGATCCGAATTTTGACAGGAGCTCAAAAGTAAGGCGTGGTGTTAGAGATGCTCTATCCGTTTATGAAGAACTTTTAACAGAACAACGCAAAAGAAAAAAAAAAGCAAACAACATTAGATGCTTTCGTCACAAAAGGGCAGAAACACTGAAAACGCGGAAGGCTAACTAAATATGACTGACTGAGAATTTTATTTGTTTTTTTTAAGAATATTCGTTTTGTTATTTATATTTTGTTTTATTTTTTGCAAGAAATTAGAATAATAATGTGGTATTAATTTGGGCTTTAAGAAATAAATGTTTGATTTATTTTTATTTAAAAGACATACTTTTTAAATTTAATACCTAACCAGTTTCCTAGCCATCTTCCCCTAACCCCAATATTTACATGTAAAGATAGCCTCGTTTAGCGCTGTTTCGCATTACGCTCTACTTTGATGGAACGTATCCCCTGCGTTAAGCGGGGTCTTACTGTACTTCTTTAAAGAGATTTTTTATTACGCGATGAAGTGCATTCAAGGATTGACTATTAAGCTTTCATGAGTCAAGGTCTCATGGTAGATGCACGGATAAACAAGAATGGCTTCACAGAATTTTAACTTTACCCATTTCTTGCAGCTCACCTTTATATAGTTATTTGTAAAGCTTCAAAAAGTTTCCCTCTGAATTTGCAATTCAGTATTTTACTTTCCTAATGGCTCAAGCATTATCCATGAGTTTGTGCATTATATGTAAACTATACTTGTCGCTATTTGCCGTTATGTCATTCTTGCTACCGTGATTCTAACAATGTGAAATCTTTCAAAACTTGAAAGTAGGATATTATGATTCCTTTGACTTCTTAACTAGTTCTTTTTGTCTAAGAGCTCTCTGAATCCTGATACCATAACTTTCCAACCCAGTTTTATTACTTGCATCAATTCAATGATTATGAGCACCAACTGAATCCACTAAACTGAATCATTACCAACTGAAACATTACCAACTGAATCTCGTAATTCCGATTCACATAGAAGACAAATGCAGCTGCAGTAATTCAAATGAAGGTATTATATTTGAATACATGAGCAAAATTAACTCTCATAAATCATCATAGTACATTTGTAAACTAATTTAATATTATAAAAATATGTCACACCTCTTTTCTCGCAAACTCGCTCTATCTCTTTTAATGAAATTACGAACTTGTCCAGAGAGAAAAGGAGAAAATTTTTAAATATCGTCTGTTCACAAAATGAAGAATACGACTAGCAAAACAAATGCGTTTCTGCGGCTAAAAAAATTATTAAATGCCAGAAAACAAAATTAGCCCTACTATTTCTTCTGAGCAATTTAACAATTAAATGCAAAATAATGACCATATGTTAAGTGGCATATTTGTATGTCAGTCTGGTTACATTACAAAAAGATTTATATCTATTTATTACAATTTGATACTAATAGGGACCACAAATCATTACTGAATATTTTTCGGCAATATATTGTATGCTTAAAAATAGCTATTACTACTTGAAAATAAATACCCTAATGTTTAATGCAATATATTTCAATTAAGCTTCATTAAAACTTCTAAATAGATACTTTAGAAACCACGTTGGTTATATTATGACAGTAATCCTCATTTATTGGAAAATATATGCTTATTTTCTAAATATTTCAGCTGATAAATATTGAAATATGTATTTGTCTAATATTCTTGAACTGATCTAAAAGTATGAATTCTCAAAAAATATTTATTGTTGCCATTACTGTAAATGTTTTTAATATTTTCAAGTTATATAATATCGCGAGGAACTAAATTTATCATTCAACCATCAAAATCAGCTTTCTGAGAATGCAGCTGAATTCACTTAGAAGAAAATAGCAGGCTGTTAAAACTTTCGCTGGAATAAACTATATATATTTTTATTTTTAGGTGTATCAGAGATGTTCTGTTATAAGGCAACGACAGTTATGTTTGTAGTATTAACTGCATCCCTATTACTACAAAGTAACACAGATGCTCTGTGCTTTCAGAGCTGGTGCGAGTACTACCCAGGTCTTCAAAGCTTCTGCTGTGACATGTTGTCTATCCAGGACTGTTGCAACACTTCTGAAAAACAGACTGATGATACAAACTGCATAAAGGTGCAGTAAGTATGAGACATTTTCTGTAACATTTTTGTCTGCTAATTATTGGATTTCACTAAGCGCGCTTTAATTTTCATTATTAATCATGAAAAATCTCTACTATATTTATATACAAACTGGAAAAGAAGGTAATTCATTGGTATTTTCGTGTTAATAGGAATATCGTTTAGTGATTTATTGCACAAATTAATTCCATAGTTAGTTTTAATCACTTCTGATATCAGAAACAGTGACAACAATAACATTACTATTGCTGAAAGTGTATGTCATATAAGATTCTTAAAACTTAATCAATTATCAACTTGTTCTTTGTGAACTATTATGTTTAAAGACCTACCATATCCACTGTCTTCTTTGATGTTCAACAATTAATTTTGAAGAGAGTCTAAATTTTAGGAAACCAAGAAACATAATTCCTCATAAAGTAGAAGAAACTGTTCAACCAAATGTTCTCATTCTTCAAAGTTCCATCCTCTGTATTAATAATACTTATTTTTATTCAATTGGTTGGTTATCAAAATTCGGCAAAGCCTAAGAGAGCTAGCTGCCTAAGGAAAGAGATACCTTCGTGGAGGACATTTTGAGGGGAATGGGTTCGTATTCACTTCACACATGAGGAAAATCACGAAACCCAACCATGCAGGCAGCTCGTTCGCTTTGATTTCACCCCATAACGAACAAGACAATAGTATTCTCCGTATCATCTATACATCAAATTCATCTCTTTATCTCCCATCTGAAACTTATAAACAATTTGCTTGTCCTTTATCCCAAGCTTATTATATCCTAGCTTGTAAAATCGCAGCTCATAATTTCATAAAAAGCTTAATAAAAAATAAAGGAAGCAAATGATAGCAAATTTTATTTATTTAAGTTAAAAGACGATATGCCAAACATTTTTACATTTTCTCAAATGCTAAATGTGCCCGCCTTTGCTGACATGACAAAGCTTTATGCGAGAATCCATTTCGTCTCTCAAACGTGCCAGTATATCATGATCTACCAGAGCCACAGCATCAGTAATATAGTTCCGATGATGCTGGATAAGCAGAGAGTAGAGGTATACAAATCAAACGAGTATCCTTGATCAAACGCTGCAAGAAAATGTCACATGGATTTGGCTATGCCATCAACATGTCATCTCTTCATCCTGAGCGTCCTATCCATCTTTGTCGCATTTGGTTGAGAACAAATGGTGTAGCAAATTTTGACTATCGAGGATCATACTGAAAATGATCTCTGTGTTAAAATGTCAGATAACTGCCTAGTTGAAAACGATAATTATCCCTGATTTCATTCAACTTTGATCCTAATGGACTTTCCACTATGCGGAAGTAAATCCGTTTGATAATACACAGATGCCTGTCGTATTAGCCAAAAAATGGACACAATGAGTTTCTATGAACTTAATAATTTCTTTTCAATCTAGTAAATTTTGAAATCAGCTGTGAACTTTATTTATTTGTTCTGAATTTTTTAAATTTTTAAAATGTTTCGTAGCATTATGAATAATCTTAGGTAAAGTTACTTTCCCTAATAGTATTCTTATGCAAAAATAAAACCAAGACTTACTTATCAAATTTGATTTATAATTACGTTTCTTCTTTTGCGATTTTTATGAAATTCGGATTTTTTTCTCTTATCGTCACCGGAGAGAAGATTATTGACTTACTTTTATGCTTATTATGCCCCATCAGTAATGGATTACTATCCTAATGTATATAAATCTGAAGCTAAGTATATTTCCAATCGATCCAACTTTTCAATACGTATTATATGCACAAAGGCAAATGTTATTTAATGTGCTGCTCATATACTAGAGTTTCTGTACGCAAATGCGAATTAAGACCTCGAAATTGCTTATTCGTGCTAGGCAAATTTAAGCTTAAAAGTATTTTTACTTAGTATTTTGGTAACATTAAGAGTAATTTTCGTCAGATATCACTTCTTCAGCATACCAGTTACAAATTGTGAGATTTACTGCATGTATATGTGCAGTGTCTAACATTCCTGAAAAGATATCCTCCGCATGGCAAACTAGTAGTAAATAGCTTTGACTAATATCTTCTTAAAATTCGATTATGATATTTGTACCTTGATGATGTGACATGACAGATTTTATTTTAACCAAGAAACCTGCCTGGGCACGCATTTTTTACATAATAGAAATTTTCATGTGTCCTACCATTTAAATCTTCGAATAGTTTCGTAACTTTTATATAAACTTCATTAGTTTCCATTCTGCTTGCCTTATCTTTCTTTTAATATATTTTGATTTTATATTTCCTTAATTTGAAGGCTACATGTTGACAAAGAGTAAATAAATCAACTGTATCAAATCATTAGGTATTTAATCAAACTGGAGAAATCGATGTAACAAACGTTAGATAAATAAAGCACTTTTGAAGTCGATCTAAAGTAGCTGAAGCTCAGCTGATCCAGAACGTTCATAAAAAGGTTCAAAATTGTTTATCTGATTTTAATGAATGTAAGAAAGCGCGATATTTGTGTAAGTGAATTTGATGAACTATTTGTTACTTATTGTACATTTTTTACACTACTTTGTATAAGTACATTGTTTTACACTAACTCTGTTTATAAAACATACCTTTTAGTTTTTTAATTTTTTATACATTCAACGGAATCATTTTAATTGAATTATATAGAATGAGAGACAAAAAGGCGAGTGTTTTCTTTCACCGCATTATATTTAAAATATTAGTTCAAAAATGTTATTAGAATTAAATGGCACTTTCAGAAATAATTGTTTCAATCACAGATTCGTTATGAAACTTTTCATTTTAACTTCCTTTTCGCTCATATCCAAGGGCTTTCCCGTCTCTAAAATTTTCTCAGCTAAACCTTGATGCAACTATGAATTAACTCTTCTTTAAGATACAATTTTATGGCATAGTTTTCATTTTACAAAATTAGGAAGCTATTTGAATTCGATACTCTGTTGTTTTCTAGTATGCAGTAGTACGTAAACCTCTTTCGTTCAGTACGTAAAATTAGCTTAATTTAATGTATAAATAAGCTTTCTTTATATAAATAGGATTTATTTGATATATTAGTGATTTCAGTTTAATATATAAATAAACTTTCCTTTAATATATGAATAACCAAAAATGCTTTGCACTCATTCTCAAATATTTGCTAACGGGTAGTTATTTTTTTTTTTTTTTTTTTTTTTTTTTTTTTTTTTATGATTTGATTTAACTCTTCATTTGCATTCATCTCTCTTCTTCAAATGACCTCCACCAAATATAAAATAAAATTCGAGAAACAAAAAAATATAGATCTTTTAAACATTAGAATGAAATTGTGTTATTATTCGTATGGTAAAACACCATGAGAAGTGTATAAAGTTATACTTAGTCTAATATTGGATGGTAAATACACCATGAAGAATGTATAACGTTATACTTAGTCTAACATTGGAATACTAATTCAGAAGTCAAACAACAAAAATCAGCGTTATATTTTCAAAATTTTCACAAAACTAGTTTCGATGGTTTTAACGAACCACCATCCTCAGCTGCAAAACCTATTATTTTTGTGGTTTTGAAAATTTTGAAAATATAACGCTGTTTTTTGTTGTTTGACTTCTGAATTAGTATTTATTCGGCGTGTTATTGTGTCTTAATTAACATTGGAACTTTAGTCCTATAACCCTAATAAACACATAGCAATTTATCGCTATGTCTGAGATAGTACAACAAAGACTCACAAAAGCTTTAACAATATTTTTATTTAAACTAAACTTTTAATAAAACAGGGCACGGTTCATGCTGCTGATAACCACTGCTTATGACGATACAGATTAAATAACAGTCAAACAAATTCCAAACCCTGATCAATAGTCTAAGACTACACAATTAAATACTAAGCTGGTAAGTATCGGCTGCTAAGCGGAGAAGGCCGAGATAGCTACATTTAGTCTAGCTAAGATAGTTACACTTAGTCTAGCTGGCAGAAATCTAAAGCATACTACGCAAATGAACAATTAAATACTAAGCTGGTAAGTATCGGCTGCTAAGCGTGGAAGGCCGAGATAGCTACATTTAGTCTAGCTAAGATAGTTACACTTAGTCTAGCTGGCAGAAATCTAAAGCATACTACGCAAATGAAAGAAACATTCACTATCTCAACATTAAAAAAAATATATCCAAGATACACGACAATCTAATTTGCATTGTGGTGAAGAATACGGAAAGAAATTAAAGATCGAAGTTATAATAACTGGTTAGTTTAAAATAAGTACCTTACAAATGTATCGATTAAGAATTAATCGTTTTAAGAGGTTAGATTATTTGAATACAACAAACCACACGAGAATGTCTGACTAAGAGGAAGCATACTTTCGATGAGGATCTTTCCAAGAAATAATGGGTCTATTTACGTTACACGTGGGGAGAATGACGTAAAGCAACCAGATAGCAAGCTTGTTCGCTTGGATCCGCAGCTAAGTCGAACCAGTTATATTCAGCTATCTTTTTATCTAGCTGCTAAGCACTAGCAGGTCAATTGTTGTACGAAAGAAATTTGTTAATTACTAAAGATCTCGTTTAATAACAATATAACACTGCTTTTATTAGAAAGTTCTTTTTGGCCGTTGATGCTATTCAATGTCCTTGCGCGAATGTCTACGTTTTAATTAAACAATTGTTTATCTTAAAAAGGCGCATTAAATGTGTGTGTTTGTATATGTAGAGTATATCCGCACTTCTTTAACTATAAACCACATCTTGTATGTAAAAATTAAATATTAAAATCTTCTAAATATAACAATAGAAAACGTTTCCCATGCGTCAGACACCGGTACCATTTTAATAACATTTTCGTTAGTGAAATAATGCATGCAGATTCGCAAATAATTATAAAATCACAAAAATCATGTATTATCGCACAACATTAATAATGAAATAATAGCTGAATAATGTAGGTCATCTCCTACATCAACACAAACTTGAATATGAAAGGTAGATTTCTTCCGTGCATCTTTACATGTTCAGTGGGTTTGTGAATAAGATGGTTACGATAGTACGTTGATTGTTACCTGGGCATTTAAAATCTGTAATCATGTTCTGGCCGAATGTCAAATGCCCAGTTCTGGCTTGGTTGCGCACACTTCTTCCCGTCGTTGCAAACTTCTCTCGTAGCTGGACTTCTCGTTAGTTGGCCTCCGAAAATCGTTGCTGATCGCTCGGTTGGTCGTCGCATTTGAGGGACTTTTGTACCTGTCTTTGATTTTTGGGTACGTTTCTATTCTGTCTTCATGGTCCCACATTATCCATAGGTTTACCTTTTCTCAGACTGGTAGAACTTATATTTTTCTTCTCTTTTTCACCACTCCCAGCGCCTTTTATTTTTCTTTGCCGACCTTGTACTCCGTATATATATGTATCCGCAGCATTTCTTGATGGCCCTTCGTTGTTCACACTTGGTGATCCCGCATAATCTCTCGTAGTAGTGGCACATTAACACACTCATAATAGCGCTTGGTCTGCTCTTTCACTATTTTTACCTTTCATAAATATTACTATTCCCCTTATTCGCTCAATCTAAAATGGGCCTTCGAAATTATTACAAAACTTCACCATCTTTCCTTCGCAAGCGGAAGAGAATGTTCAACTTTCAAGTCCTTATTTCCCACCTTAAAACTGATAAACCATATGAAATTAAAAGCCCTTTCAAAACCCTTTCAGAGTTTTTTGTTTTTTTTATTTTTTATTTACATTAATTTCATAGTAGTATGTACTAATTCAGTTTAAGGATTGATGTTAGCTTAATATATTTTATGCTGTGGATGTTTTGTATGATTTCTCTTAACTCAAATTACTTATGCAATAATACTTCATCTTGTAAATTTATAAAAATAAAACTTGTTGTTTTATTTAATTTATGGAATTATTTTTTTCTTCCAGGTCGTCGTAGCCGCTGAATAGAACAGATATGGAAGAAACAGTATTTTCTAAAGCACGTGCATTTATATTTATGGACTAAATATTTTTTATGTAAAAACTAAACTCTTCTTTTGCTCATGAACTGTAATTGATTCATTTCTTTTTTTAATAAATACTCATTAATAAATGTTTCACCTTTTCTAGTAGTACAATCTGAGTTTCGATGAAGTTTATTCAGACTAAACTCTTCCAATGAAGAAACTATCACTTGGGAACTAGGTTAATATGAAAATGTTTTCCTTTCATAATTAACTTCCTACATGTTTATAAAGATGTACAGTGGCTCACATTTACTTACAGACACTTGCGTTTTTCTGTTTCATTTGCAAATATCAGTTACTAAATATTAGCGAAATGGCTTTACTTTTCTTTCACATACACTACTGATCATCCTCTTTAAAACCTGCTCGTTTTGAAAAGCGTTTTTAATTAAAAAGATAATAATTTGTTCACACGTTTCGAAAATTAACTCACAGAAGTGTTCGGACATTTTGAACAAACAGTTTTTATTTAGTATAAACATAAAAATAACGACATATTTAATATTTCATCTTATATGCTTTAGCTAAATTTACCTTTTTATGCGCTTTGGCGTAGATTCAATTAATTTTTTCAGATAAAAATGTTCCACTTTGTTGCATTCCTCCGTAAGAACTTCTTTTAGAAGAACTTTCGAAAAAAATGTCATGTTTTGTTATTCTTTTCTCCAACTCATTCTGTATATGTTTCACAGGAACGGTACATATACGGAGTCGAACGGAGGAACATATGCGGAATTTAAGTCGGGAAAACATGGAGTAGTTTTAATAACTTCAGGACAGTTGTGTACATAAGAGAATATTTAAAGCTGCACGTTTAGGATCCTTATCCTGACAGAAGTTGAATGTATTCTGCATTCCAATTTTTCTTTAAGAATACTTATATATTCATATATAGCCATATTATTTTCCGCAAAAGCTAAATTTTCCATCCTAGAGCCAGAGAAATTTCCCTAAAACATTATACTAAGCACTATGTTTTATGGATTCAAATCTTCATTCGACTTTTCTCCCACAGTAATTCGGCCATGAACACATTAATTTTTGAGTCGTCTACAAATATAATGTTATTCCAACACGATAAATCGTTTGTTTATCATGGCTTTTGAGAAGGCCAGGTGTATTTTCATCGTTTTCTTGTTGATTTTCTTCTCGCTGAATGCCCATTGTAACCACATGCATGCCTTAATGACTTTTCTTATACGAGGAACTTTAATAGTGGCAACTATTTATTTACAAGGAATACAAAAGTGATTCATGTCACCATGTTTTACAGTCCTTCAATATAGTCGCCAGCATTGTGTACAACAAGTTTCCAACGATGTGAAGTCCAGAATACCTGTAGCAGCGCCGTTTTTTGTTGATAGTTTTGAATGGACCGGTCTACTACCGCAAGAATCTCAGGAACAGTTTGGAAGCGAGTGCCACGAAGTGGTTCCTTCATCTTAGGAATTAAGTCATAGTCACAAGGAGTTAGATCTGGGGAGTATGGTGGATGGTAAAGCACTTTCCAGCCCCATCGCTTGAACAAATCAGTCACAGCTTGCGCTGCATGCGGCCGAGCATTGTCATGCAAAATGAGAGGAGCGTTCTGCAGAAAATGTCGCCGATTTTTTTCTCAACCTGGTCGGAGATTGTGCTCCAAAAATGAGCAGTAATACTGCGCAGTGACGGTTTGCTGTGGGGTAGTGGTATGCGTTAGGATGACACTATCACACTCGTACACGAGAATCACCATAACTTTCACATTGCTGGGGTTCTGGCGAAATTTCGAACGTCGTGGTGACCCGTGATGACGCCATTTGTTTGATTTTCGTTTCAGTTCTGGCTGGTACGATCGGGCCCAAGTCTCATCCAGCGTAATGATATGTCGTAAAAAAGCATCTCCTTCGCGCTCATAGCGCTCCAGGTGGGTTCGGGCAGCATCGTATCGTAGCCATTTCTGCATTTCCGTCAATTGATGTGGAACCCATCGTGAAGCAGTTTTTCTCACGGACAGGCATTCCTTCAGAATGTGAAGCACAGTCGTATGCGCTAATCCTGTTTGTTCGGCCAGCTGATGAATCGTTTGTCGACGATCACTGTCCATTATTGCGGCAACAGCTTGCACGTCTGCGTCGCTGTCACTCGGATGACCTGGCCGCAGCATGTCTGCCACGTTTTGGCGTCCTTCATTGAATGCTTTCACCCATCTTGCTATGAGAATAGCAAGTATATATATATATATATATATCAATGCAGATTCTGTAAGGCAATGCAGATTCCCCGCAAGCCTCTTGAAGCCCTTGATGACACTGTCGTGCTGTACGACCTCTGGCACATTCAATTTTTATCCAACATCGTTGTTCTTGTTTTGAAAACATCCTGACAACACTTACTTTAGACCGCGAGATAATACAAGGCTGTTCTTCACGTCACTCAGCATACGCATGACGTAGGCAGAACGAGTCTTTTTGCTGAGAGGTAAGGTAGGTATGTAGTTTACGTGTGGTATACGCGATATTCTTTGGGTTTTGTTGCGTAGCGTTTTTTCAGCTGTGTTGCCACTTTTAAAGTTCCAACCCTTGTAGTTTCCGGATAAAATTGTATTGCACACCATTCTTCTAAATCCGCTGAAAATTTTACAGTATTAATTGTTTGATTTTACACAGGATAAATGTCCGAATCCTTGCAATTAGTTTGGAATGTTGTGCATTTTCAGCAGTTCCATGCAGTTTTGTCGCTTTGATTCATCCAGAATAGTTGAGAGATTTACCTTTGTACACATATTAGGTTGTTTTGAAGCAAGAGAGGCGAAAAATATACAATGCCGTGGCCAGGACTCGAACCTGAGCTACTGTTACACCACGAAGGCATGCAGGAAAGTATCTGATTACTTAAGGATTTTTTCTTTTTGGATATTTCGAGTAGTTTTACCGTCTTTAAAATGACTGATACTTAAATTTCTAACAGAATTCCTCGTTAATTTGTAACGTCTTTCCATATTCACTTCAGATATGGAGCTATTTTTATATTTTGCTAAACAACTGGTAATTTCCAAATATATAAGACAATTCTTGTGATGCATATTATAAAACAAACAATTCTGGCAAAAACATTGCCTCTCAAAACATTGCCTCTCAAAACATTGCCTCTCAAAACATTGCAACAAAACTTTCATTTTAGTTATTTTCTTAAAATGAAAAAAGATTTTTTCTGCAAGAGGATAATTTACATAGCACTTATACATAAATTCGACTTCATTAGATTCGACCACATGCCTACTTTCAGGATACAGAATACTACTTCAACAAGAATTTACTAATTTTCACATATAACATTAGTTCTTTTATGCAAACACAAACTGAAGTTCATGACTGAAGATTAGAACTATTTTAAAAGCACATTCAGTAAAGAATAATCAGAAATATTTATTGCTAAAATTACTGAGAATATTTATTATTGAAACTGGTCTAGGACGGAATGCTTTAAAAGTTTATAATATATTTTTTCTTGTTTTGACAAACATATGTATATATGTATATATATATATAACATATATATATAATAAACATATGTATGGAGCTATTTTTATATTTTGCTAAACAACTGGTAATTTCCAAATATATAAGACAATTCTTGTGATGCATATTATAAAACAAACAATTCTGACAAAATATTGCCTCTCAATCATTGCAATATATATATATATATATATATATATATATAGCATATGTTTGTCAAAAACAAGAAAAAATATATTATAAACTTTTAAAGCATTCCGTCCTAGCCCAGGTTCAATAATAATATTCTCAGTTAATTTTAGCAATAAATATTTCTGATTATATATATATATATATATATATATATATTGGTAATTTTAGGCGATATATATTGGTAACTGATGACTTTATATATATATTGGTAACCGATTATATATATATATATATATATATATATTGGTAGCTCTTGGTAACTTTTGGCGAGCTTTCTACAATTTTTATTTTTTTTACTTATTTTGCAGCATATTGCGCAAGATGTTTTCTTGACCAAAATTGTTATTACTGCTTTGCTTGATATATATATATATATATATGTATGTTTTTTGGGTCTTGTGAAACATTAATTTTAAATTTCTTACTTTTTATATACGTATATAAATATATATATATTATATATGATGTACCAGCTTTTGTCAGGAATAAATAGATTTTTGAAGAATCATAAATGTAGTCGTAGCTTAAATTATCAGACGGTAAGTTTAAAAAAAAAACAAGATCCATTTCTTATTTTTCAGGAGAAATAGCAGTTACAAAATCAGATATCCAGAGTAAATAAAAAGAATTGCTAATAACTTTTTGTATGAAGTTTACTGCATCGTGACATTTAAGAAAAATCCCGGATATTCTTTTGCGAGTCCTTTTATAGCCTCTGGAAAGGCGGAGCTTCCAAGAAATGACGTCAGCCTAGTCAGCCAATCCAGTTCGCTTTAAATATTTCCAGAACATGTTATAAGTACGTGTAGAAAAGGCGAGAAAAACAACTTGACTACGGGGCTGTAGATTTAATTCCACGTACTTTCAAATAAGAGAACGTCGCCATTAAAAATGAAAAGAACATACAGTTAGAATTTTAAGTGTATCCTTGACTAGGGAATTTTATTATTACATATATATATATATATACGTATATATAAAGTAAGAAATTTATATATAATGTTTCACAAAGACGAAAATTTTGAAATTCATAATTAATAGAGGAAAATTTTAATCCTTAGCTCTAATCTCTAAATTCGTAAAACTATTAAAATAGCTCTAATAGCTGCTTATTGTATTTCATAATTATAAAACTTTTTTTAAAAAAACAAAATATAAATATGCCTAGTATTTTCGCGCTTTTATCCTCTTCATACTAGCTGTTTTCTAAAACAGCCTATTTAGTCAGAACTTCAGAAAAATACACATATTTACAATTCAGATGATTTCAGCATAAAACATATTAAGTGTATTATGAGCTTTATATCTTCGTTTCAACTACTTTACAACTTCTTTTGATTAACGGTATTAGCTAAGAAATGTGTAATTCAATGGGTACATTCTAATGTAATATACTTCCTT